AGAGAGAGAGAGAGAGAGAGAGAGAGAGAGAGAGAGAGATTGCCACAGTGTCCACATGTTCTGTCCGATTTCTTCTCTGTATTTTGCCTTCCAGGAAATGCTCCGAGATGCACGCCCAGCATGACGTCAGCTCACATGAGAACACTACTTATGGCAACTCCCCCCCTGGGCGAACAGCATGACTAGATTCTGATTACTTCATGCATTTATTAGAGACCTTCTTAACAAGAGTGGCAATGGTATGCGTAATTGAAGGGGACTTCCAACAGCTGCCCCTGGGCATTTTGTAATCACACCATCTCAGCACACGTGGCAATAATTCATAATCACCCCATCTCGGCCCCACGAATCGACTCTCACATCCACACATACGTGCACTTCCGTATGCACACACCCACCCAAAGAGTCGTAACTCTCCAAGTAGGCATCTGGAATCCATACAAGATTAATGGGGCAGCAAAAACGTTTTTCCAGAAAACACAGCAAACCGAAGATTCCGATTCTGAGTCCGTTGATCACAAACAAACACATTCAGCAAACACAGCAAACCGACTCAGAATCGGAATCTTCATTGAGCAAACAGATTAATGGGGCAGCAAAAACGTTTTTCCCGAAAAGTTGTGTAAGTTTTCGGCCTGAAAATACGTAACAGGTCATTTCACACAATCCAAATCAAGAATCAATGATTTTCATTGAAAACGCTCGCGGGTAAAAGAAAAAAAAGAAAAAATGTTCTCCAAAAAAAAAAAAAAAAAAAGAAAAGAAAGAAAAAAGGTTCAGTGGTGTAACAGGTCAGCTAGCAATCAGTCTAACAGTAGAACAAAATCCTTCTGAATAAATACAAGGATGGTCAGTGCGATGATGATATCTCAAAGCTGCTGCTTTACAGAAAACTGGGAGGATAAAAGGAAAGAGCAGCTGTGCATTGGAGCCTGAGCGCTAGACTCAGGGCATACTCTCAAGTGAGCACTTTGCTGGATGCATCTGACCTCTTTTACTGCCCGAAGCACTTTGCTGGATGCATCTGCATACTCAAGTGAGCATTTTGCTGGATGCATCTGACCTCTTTTACTGCCCGACGTTCCACATGTGAGTTGAAAAAATCCCATGAGGACTTTCCTGGATGCAACTGGCCTTTTTTATGGCCCTACCTGGATGCACCTGACCGCAATTACGACCAGATGCGAGTTGAAAAAAGTCCCGGTGTGAGTATGGGCCTCGCTGCACCACTCACCAAATGTGCAAAAAATGAGAATGAATCTTTCACAAGAAGCTGCGAAGTTGCACTGCCGTAATGTTTTTCGTCTGTGAATTTGACGAGTAGTGTGCATCTGGCCTTTTTTGTGGCCCGACCTGGATGCACCTGACCGCAATTACGACCAGATGCTAGTTGAAAAAAGTCCCGGTGTGAGTATGGGCCTTGCTGCACCACTCACCAAATGTGCAAAAAATGAGAATGAATCTTTCACAAGAAGCTG